CTGGACACCGGAATGCCAACAAGCGTTACAGGAATTGAAACGATATCTATCGAGCCCACCACTGCTTCACACCCCAAAAACCGACGAAAAACTATACTTGTACTTGGCGGTATCGGAAGTCGCCGTAAGCAGTGTCCTAGTTCGAGAAGAGCAAGGTACACAATTTCCCGTTTATTACGTAAGTCAGACCTTTCTGTGTACGGTCAAAATCGATTCTCAGTCATAAAGACCGGTCGAGACAATGACGTTTCAATCGAAGGTTATCCACATGACAAGCTCGGACGAATTCTGAAGTAGGGACGTAGAACTTCGAGCTATAAGACCAATCAACGGCAAAACTCGATATCATTATCGAGCCCGTATTCGAATCGGACTACGGGGCAACACCGATCGACACAGGCCCCGAATATCAATGCCCCAAGGCAGAACCGAGCTCGAACCAAGACTGGGGGTTCGATCTAATACCGAGCTCAAGCCAGTGCCTAGCTCGCAGACAAGAGCCGTTACAACCGCACCGAGGGAGAGAATCTTGGCGAGAATCAAGGAAGAGACAAACCATCATGGGTCTTTCACTATATGTATTATTTTATTATGTTGTTATAGATAAAGCAGTGACCCTCTACTATAAAAAAGGGGATAGACTGCAGTAGAGAAAAGTCCTCCAAGATACATTAAGATTTCATTGTGCTTGTTTTTCTAACTCATTTCAGTCTTCCCGTCCACCATTCCCATTTTATAGCAAAAAATACCTGTATTGTCATTTTGTATCAAAGGAGTTTACATACCCTTAGAACCATATCTAAATTTAACGTTATCCGATTTTTTGGGTAAACAACAATATAGATGTGGGCCAACATCGGTAACAATAAATTGGGATGGGCGTGGCTTTGATATCATGAAAAATGAACTTTGGGCTTAACTCAACTCCAAAAGCTAGCTCATAAGGTGAGGATTACCCAAGACCATATAAGTATACCAAGAAACTCAAATCCCAGCAACGTGGGACTCAACAAGAAGCAAGTGCTATTCAATGTTTCATGTCAATAACAGGAAAAGAAAATAGTTACTAACATTAACCAATTCATGAGGTGATAGGTTTCTGGACAAATACTTTGTGCTGCTTTTTTGATTGTTCTATTTTGATTTCTTCAGGATTACTTTACTCTTTCTGATGTACACTCACTGACTGAGGATCCTTCTGAGTAACAACAGTTTCTTGCGAACATCTGGATGGTTTAACGATAGTTGCTGCCCATAAAAAAGGTAATGAGTTCACCACATTCAATGATTTTTTTGAAGATATGGAAAGTACAATCTTAAGAAGTGAATTTTTCAATGGAAAATATTGGACCAGGAAAGTTGTACAACCTTGAAAGACAACTGCTATATATAATTTGCAAGACATCACTGTCTAGAGGGAGCAAAAGTGAAAAGCTGAGTAGATCATACACTTTCCAAGGGAAGTTTGAAGAAAGTTTCCATCTTCATTATCTAGCAGTTTATCAATCATGCTTTCTTTCCACGTCTCTAGGAAAATAAAGGACAAAAATTCCCACCACTCCACGTGGATCATGAAATTTCGAAGCTTAATGCCTTTTGTGCAAGAAAACTCTTGGAATCCAGACATAAGTGGTTATAAAACCGTAAAAATAACTGAGAACATTAGCATTTATCTCCATTCCCAATTAACCATCCCAATCAACCAAGAAAATAAAATTGGGATAAGGAACATTCAGAGAAGGACACTTTAAAAGAGGGTTAACTGTCATATTTGGAAAGTATTTCTAAATTCCTGTAACGTGAACGAGATGAACATGATATCATTGAGTTATTTATTTATACTATTTCCTTTATATCTTGAGCTGGTTATTGATATTGGTCTCTAACTGTTTCTTCTGAGTTCGTTACTGCTTTCAGCCCAAGGTTAGGTTTGTTATTTTTGAGTACATGTGATCGGTTATACTCATACTACACTCTGCACTTCGTATGCAGATCCATGTACTTCTGAACGTGGTGATTGCTAGAGATGTTCATACCAGATTTTTGAAGACTAAGAGGTAGCTGCTATGCCGTTTGCATACCTTGAATTCTCTTTCATTTATTTTTGTTATTACTGTTCTACTGTTTAGACGGTTATATTGAGGATTTTTGTTCATGTACTCGTTGATACCAGATCATTAGGATAGTTGTAGAAGTATTACTGTTGTTCGCAGTTATTTCTTGATATATCTCCGCTACTGGGTTTACTAAATTCCATTTTATTGAATTTACTGCTATTGTGGAACTGTTGGCTTGCCTAGCAAGTAGTGTTAGGCGTCATCGCGACTCCGGTGAGAGTTGGGTAGTGACACACTACAATCCATATGAGTACATTAGCTCAACCCAGATTGAAGATCCTTCCTGCTACCTTAGCCCACAAGCCTTAGAATCAAATTCCAACATCCGAAATTCTCTACAAGGTCCGATTCTAGCTTACGTACACCGTATCAATCTTGACAAGCTGTACCAAAACGTGATCATACACTCATGCTGTAATCGCACAATGCACCACATAATATATTTGCCCATAGTAACATCTTCCAACCACAATAGCTATAAATTTATGAACCCAATGCCCGTAATATACCTCATGATACATACAAGCCATGTTCTAACCCTTGCAATACTGTAATGATGAAAGAGATGTATAGAAACTCACACCCATCAAATCAATAACTCACGGAGTCTATCTACTCGATAAGAACCATTGCCGCATTCTAAACTGATTAGTGTCATTTTCCCTCCAATATACATTATACAAATCCGATTACATTGATTTCAGGTCCAATAACCTCGTCTCATCTAGTACAAGCTGCTCAGCCGACAACCACATCAAAATCATCTAAAATCTCATAAGACCCCATCGTTGAGCCAATAAACCACAACTCGAATATGACCAATTAGGAAAAGTGAACCCTAAGTACAGAACTATCCAGCCCGCGTAACGAATAAAACAACCAAACAAATACTATGAACCTATCTCAGAGATGAGAAACAAAACACATAAATAAGTATGAGGAACTGTACCCAACATCTCAATGTTGCGGCGTGCAACCCGATCCAAATATCATACACGTGGCAGCACGCCACCCGATTCATACATAATCAATCTGCATGGGAATACCAATCGCGCCAAAAATGCTCATATTCACTAGATACACGTATAAAAACCACAAACATGCCAAGTGCATAAACTTAATCCTAGGGATACGGATAACGTCATGCGCTACAAAAGGTCAAGCACGACTGAGGTGCAATAAACAACCAGCATTTTGAGAGCCATTTCACTCATATAATACCACAAGCTATACGGGGTTACAATGCATGTGTGAATAATCAAGCCGTCTCACAACCCACGTGGCATAAAAGAGTAACACATGAAATAGACGACGCTAGGAATAACATTCACCAATGTCTGAAGACTCATCCATAAGCTATGCTATGCTGAATAAGCATATCTGACCTGGTGCAGAATATACATTCACATCAGGTCTACCAACGGACCTCTGCCGAGTCCGATCATTTCAAAATAGGTCAATAACCTTTCAAAGATCCACAATGACCATATCCATGACACATGCAATCAATCGTCAAATTCGGAACAAACTTTCACAGTCCGCAACTAAAGGAATAGAGCGTCTCCCAAACATAAACTCCTAAATCAGCGACAGTACCAGAATCTTCATACCTGATTTCAATCTCTACCACTTAAATGACTGACACATCACACTTACACAATCATCGTGTGGGAGATACTCCCACAACTTTCCGCACCAGGCAGCAAAATCTGCACATCCATGGATACCAACCGTACTATTTTTGTAATGCAAATCAAGAATCCACAAATCAACAATGCCTCTTCCATAGAACACCATTCTCAGGTGACACTAAAATAGCGCCAGCATACTCTGAACGTCTGAAATCTGAAATCTCCTCCGAGCTCGTGACATCCCTGTCAATACTAAATCGCAACTTTGATCTTTCAATTCCAATCCCATACCGTTCAATGCATCCATCATGCTGTTACGCGAGAGTACAAGAATCCCATTCAAGCCCAGCACCGCATCTACAGCCACCCTGAATGCTTCTGCGGTCACGCGCTTGCGGCCCTTCCTTCGCAGGTTCGCCATGCCAACTGAACCAAAATGATTCAAAAATTCATCCGAAACACACCCGAGTTCCTTGGGACCGTCTACTCACACCATCTGGTCCCAAAATATAAGACAGACCTACTCGATACCTCAAATTACACCAAACAACATCAAAATTACGAATCGTACCTCAATTCAAGCGAACTAATGAACTTCCAACTTCAAATTTTCAAATTCAAACTTACGCCGAATATGCATGATCGGAGAATAAGAGTTGGACATGTTTTCTGGTGTTTGGCTATGACGAAAGTATTTCGAAATCTTTCCCTTTCTGTCGTAATAATTTACTGATTTTTGCGGCAGACAATTACATTGAAGGGCACATGCTTTGCACCCAAAAAAAAAAAAAAAAAAAAAAAAAAAAAGTGGCTAGTTTGATGTTGGGAAATTGCCAAGCTTAACTTCAAATTTTAACGTCTGCGGCTCGAACTGCACAAGCAATGTATCAACTTCAGACATGAGGTATCAAATTTAAATGTCTGCAGCAGCAATCTGTACACTTTCCCTAAGAATTTAAGTTTAGAAGGTCACCGCTTTCGGTGAATGCAAAGTCACCTCAGTTTGGTCGAACAATTTAACTCATACAAGGTTACAAAAGCCTTCTCCAAGCTTACAATTTTTCCTAGGACTGTTACAGCTAACCTTGCATATACCATAGAAAATATGAATTCAATTAAGTGCTTTGTTTTATTTTCCTGTGTCGTTTTTGTCCATAACGGACATCTTTCTTGACTCTATGCGTGCTTACAAGTTGAGATAAATGTTTATTAGCAATGAGTCTCAAGATTGGAAACAGGAAAAAAAAAATGGTTCAGAGAAGGGCCATTCTTTTTAGCCACAAAGCATGCATGTTAAAATCCCATTCAGAAAGTACATATCCTAAAGCCATTTAATAACCAAATAAACAGAGCTTGCTTGGTCCATAATCTGGAACTGTACCAACGGAAAATGTCTCCTAGTTCCAAGTCAACTAGTCTTTTACACATAATAAAATTATACATCAACTTAGTGATACACCACACTTCCTATGTTTAGCTGTTCGCGACAAGCTCATCAATTTCATCTGCATGATCTCTGAGTACATTCCACTGATCCATACTCAATGAGATGCCTGAAATAGGAAAAAGGAAAAACACTACTGTTAGGTATGGTTTCTAAGTCTGCAGATACATGGACCTCTGGAAATTATATTAAAAGAAAGATACAAGATGAATAAAAATATAAATAAACTTGTGTTGAGAATAGAAGATATAACTAAAGCAGTTAACAGTTGGTCTACGGGCAAGAACTAACGCTCCCACCCTCCCTCCCTCTTTATTTATTCTTTTAAAGCAGTGCAGGAGCTGAGAGCTGTTTGATGTTCAATTAATTAAGGAATTGTATTTTAAAGAATGAAAAGCACCATGGAGATGCACTGGTACATATATAAAGTACAAGAGCAAACTTCAGGACATGCTGAGGAACCTAAACAGATCAACCAAAGAGGCAGCACGAATTAAGTTTGGGCCAGAGGAGCTTCAGAACTGCACAATGTCTTCGCCCAATGCAAGTTTATTTAATACTATGAGCTGGTTCCATCTAGCCTCGCATAAACCAACTGATTCTCTCTTTCTACAAGTTTCACTATGCCCCAATTCAGCTCAATTAACAATGTTCACTTCTAACATCAATGGTAGAAGCAATGGTAAAGAGACAGCATATGGTAAATCTATTTTATTGACACTATTGATGCATCTCAAAGTATGTCAGTTTTGAAAAAGTTCAGAACTACAGTTAACATTTGTAAATGTGACTGAACGGCACTACAAGAGTAATAACTTTATTCCTAGGTGATACCCTTCCTTATCAAATTGAAGTATACAACCACGGGCCTTGTGAAAATAGTGTCCACATCCTACAATGTCACCTCTCATCATTTACTTAATATTTTTCTCGACCTTTCTAAGAGGCAGACATTGTGGGAAAAGGAAATAACTCTGGAGAAGAAAGCTGACATTTGGAAGGATAGAGCCACAAAGGCTAACATAAAGAATGCTAAGAGTTTCCTAGCTGATGGAAGAAAGCTCTGGTAGACCTCAAGGCAAGAACAATAGGGGCAAAAACTCTTCTTCTGACCATAAAAGCCACATTCAAAGCATATCTTGTTTTCTACACAATGAAGTAAATCCTGTAGATTCTTAATTTGCATAGTATTGCCAGAGTCGACCCAGTATGATATAATTTGGGTTGATCTGTCAAAATGCAATAATAACGTGCCAACATGAAAACTGTGACATGTCAACAAAGCATCAGTAATGAGTAACTAGTAAGACCAACAACGTTCAAACCGTGTGAAGATTACCTACAATTTTTTAACCCATTACCTAAGCTAATACAGAAACCTGTGAAAAGGTATACTTCCGAATTGGCTCGTGTGAAGAGACAGATGCTCCTTTCATCAACCAGCTTCATATGGGAATTGCAATGGGAATTGATAATTCTTAGGAACGGCTGAAATTGAAAAATACAAACCCAAAAAAAAAAAAGAACACCAATATCCTCCCTAAGTTACTTCACACTAATCTTGAACCCATTCCATATACAAGATTACCAAAATCCATCCTCAAGTCTTCAACATTTTTATTGTTGTCCCAGAATTTTGATAAACCGAAATATTATAAGTGCTAGCATTGAATTTGATATATATGAATGAATCCTTGTGCGAACATAGATACTGTTTCACAGGAAAAAGTACATTATGAAAGAAACAACCTCTTCTCCTTAACTTGAGTATAATTATATTAGAGTCTAGGTAAGAAATTCGGAAGAATTCCGACTTCTATGCATTTAAGGAGGGTGCAAAAGAACGGTTCGCAAAAAGGAGCATAGGACGCATGTCACGAGTTAAAACCCGGACAAAAGTCTTGCATTTAAGTGGAGAAGGGTCGAGGGGCGGGCCCATTATCCACTACATTTCAAACCGTATGCCATTGACCCTCGAGAATTTCTTGGTTATCAATCACAAGAGGATATGGGAATCATAGTTACAATTTTTTGAAGAACGTTTCGACGGAAAGCAATTCATGACATATCTGCTTTGTTTTAAGGATGTTGAAAATACTGGCTATCTAAGAGGAACACCAAGATACACAATTCCCCGTAAAAAGAAACACAAGGAACAAGACAGAAGATAACAAAAGAAACTTAGAAACCGAAGAATTTTCATGCTACTTGTCACGATCAACAAAAACAAAAACAAAAACTAAAATTTATATACAGATGTACCAGGGGTAAATACTTATACACACCAGGTGTTTAAGGCAAACCAAGTAATTTAACCTTAATGTTAAAAATTAAAATGAAAATGCATATCAATTAAGTATTCTTAAGTGATAGATGTTTATGTGAAAGACACATGTCTTGAATTCACCATATATAAAGACCAGAAGAAAGTTCAATCCTAGCGTGAGAAATTCATTACACTACTATCCCATGCTACAGAGTTGATAAAACTAAAAAGTATCCCTTATTTCTCGTACATCATATAAAAAAAAAAAATTATTTTAAGAAAACCCTAAAAGCAACAAAGATAGAATCATTAGATTTTCAAATGTAGCAAGCATCGCCCAAAATCACATATAGAAACCGAAAAGAAAAATAAAAAATAAATAGGCAGCAGGTACCTTTTCTGCCAGGCATTTGCTTGCCATCTTTAACATAAAACTCACGAATATCCACCATTATCTTCCCTTGAAAGCTCCTAACTGATACTCTCCGATTCTTAGAAATCTGAAACAAACGCAAAAATCAGAAAAACAGTAGAGAAGTAAGTGAGACATAAAATGTTTGGGGAAGTGAAAAAAGAGACCTCGCACACGACGATGCTATCGGCATCGTCGGAATCATCAGTTCTGGAAGATTTCTTAGGAGGATTGTCGCCTTCTGAAGCGTACTCATCCTCTTCCTTTCTCTTTCCGAACCTTCTCGACATTTCTTCAGGAAAGTTGTGGAATTTTGAGAAATGGGAATTGGGGATAATAATACCCTTTTTTGGAGTTTGAGTTTCATTCCCTGGCCCTTGCATTTTTGGTTCAACCGGATTTAAGCCCAGAAAGGTCAAAATTTATAGAGCCCAACCCAAACACTCATACAGTGGGCCTTAGCCCTATGAGAAATTAAGAAAAGATTACCCTAACACCAAAGTATGACTCAGCATGTGGAAGGTGGGAGTGCTTTGGGTACCCTAAATTTATAAATTTTGCAAGCTTATCCAACAACTTCAAACACATGCAATAAATACATATCTAAAGTCCTAAGTCCTAACAGATTTACATATTAGAGTTGTAGATGACTTGCTGAATGGAATTTTCAAATGATAGCTGCTGTATTTCTTTTAATGTCTTGGCAGAAAAGTTAGTCAATTGTTTTTCCGCTTTTTGTATTTTTCTTTCAGTTGATTAAAGTATAGATAAGAGAATGTAAATCACACTTTTGAAATGAGAATATATATCTAATTACTCCCAACTCTATCTCTCTTTCTTTCTTGTCCTATTAGGTTTTCTTCTTCTCCTTTCTTTCGTTACTGTTGCATTACCTCTGCATATGATACCATTTTGATATTTATTGGTATTAGAGCCAGGTTACAATGGACCCAAGAAAAGTTGCTGATGTTCAATTGAGAAATCCAACCACAGATTTACAGAAGCAGTAAGAGGATCTGGCAGCTCGACAATTAGATTTGCAAGCTGTAATGGACCAAATACAACAGTAATTGCGCGAGGATATGGATCGAAAGCATGTAGAGCTTATCCAAATTCTCAATTCACTCAAACATTCAGTTGATGGAGCGCATTTACACCTGCAGTCGAAGGACAAACAATTGGCTAAGAGTCGAAGACTTTTTCAGAAATTGGAAGACAAATTGAGCGGAAAACGGGTAAAATATGAAGAGTCAGTGAATACTACTGCAAGTCGTGCTCTGTTGTTTGCTCTACTGGGAGGTACTATCACCAAAAATATGAAGCTCTCCGTTTGTGTTAGCGGTACTTCAAAAATAGTAAGTTTAACCTCAAAATTTCTCCCTTAGATTCTGTTCTCATAGAGAGTGCTGGAGTTTTGGAGGATATGTATTTAAATATGTTTATGGAAAACAAGAGTTATAATAATATATACGCTTTGGAAGACACATTCCTAGCTGAACTTTTCATGGAAGATAAAAGCGATAATATTTCTCACAAGGTGCTTGATAATTTGTCAAAGCCGAATTATGATTTGTTGAGAGTAATTTAGATGCCTTAGACGACATGTATTTACGTGCACTTTGCATTGAAGCTGAGAGGATAAGTAATCTTCACAAGGTTTCTAATGAAATGTCTGAAATAGATCATGTCAAAGTAGTACATGTATTCGTCATGGGCGGCTTTCCAGCCATGCCCCATGATCCCTTGGACGCGCCCCGTGGCGTCCTGGCC